ATAGTCTTGCTTGGTGCAGCGCCACTGCAGCTCGGATGAATTGCGCTCGGGTGTTCGGCGTTTCGGGGAGAGGCGTTGCAGAGAACCCTGAAGACCTGGTCATGATCACGATCATGATCACCATCATGGCCATGATCCATGGGGATGATGATGATGGCGGTGAACAGCATGGCCATTGTTACGCTCCTAGTAGTTCTGATCCTCAGCACCTGCAATGCTGTCCGTGCAAAGCCATGTGAAGACAGGTGCAGAGGCCACTCGTGATGACAAGAGTGACCCTAAACCCTAAACCCTAAACCTAGTCAGGCCCTTCTAGAAGCTGCATCCCGCTTACCCGAGCTCCTCGGGCTCACGTTTTGAGCCCATCGAGCGTTTTGCTTGAGCCCTCCAAGAAGCCGCTAAGGGTTTTAGGGTTTAGGGTATGATGTCCCTCATAATTGAGGATTCCTCGAACCCGTTTCACTCCAATAAAACCGACAGGCGGTTGATGGACAAAATCCTGCATTGGCCACAGTAAGGAAGCAACTTCGCTAGGTTAGGGCCCGTAAGGTAACGAAGGATTTGGTCCATCAGTAGGACCCCATATCATCCGCAGGTTTCCTGAACCTTAGACCCTAAGCCTTCAATTTAAAACCCCAAACCCTGAACACCCGAAACCGTAAACCCTAAAAGCCCAAAACCCTAAAACCTCAAGCCCTGCAAGCCCTAAGCCCTGGAGCAAGAAAGGCACTAGGCCTTAAGCTGCTTCGTTGGGAAGATGTGCATGACAAGGCTGGTTCTCGATCGCAGCCGATCCGCTCTCCTGCCACTGTTCTGGGGTTTAGGGTTTAGGGTTTATGGGGTTTAGGGGTTTAGCTTAGGGTTTATGGGGATTAGGGTTTAGGGTTTATGGGGTTCAGGGTTTAGGGTTTATGGGGTTTAGGGGTTTAGCTTAGGGCTTATGGGGTTTAGGGTTTAGGGTTTATGGGGTTTAGGGTTTAGGGTTTATGGGGTTCAGGGTTTAGGGTTTATGGGGTTTAGGGGTTTAGTTTAGCTTAGGGTTTATGGGGTTTAGGGTTTAGGGTTTATGGGGTTCAGGGTTTAGGGTTTATGGGGTTTAGGGGTTTAGCTTGTTCTGAAAACGACGTTCAGGATATTTCGGAGGGTTAGGGTTTCAGGTTTAGGGTTTCAGGGTTTAGAGTTTCGGGGGTTCAAGCTTCTCTGAATTCGGGTCTCTTCTTAGAGCCTTAGAACAGTACGGCAGCCTTCTAAAAGGAAGCCAAAAGGGACCCTAATCACCCTAAACCCTAAACCCTAAACCCTAAACCCTAAACCACCCACTCAGCTTAACTTCCGAGTCGCCTTTGCTTATGTGAAAACCGGAGCCCTGCAGCCGAAGCCTTACTTAAAGGATCATGGGACTTAAGGGGTCCTTAAAGGGATCTACAGGGGTTCCTTAAAGGGATCTATAGGGGTTCCTTAAAGGGATCTACAGGGTTTAGGGTCTAGGGTCTACTTAAAGGATCATGGGACTTAGTAACTAGGGTTATTACCAAGGTAACTATACTTATAATTACTTATAACCCCAATTAATAAAGGACTTATAACCATAGTTACTAAGTTGATCCTCCAAGTACACCAAATCCCAGCGAGGATCCAACAAGTAGCTGCCTTAATGGGTTTCGTATAAAGTACCCAAAAGTATAATGGGGTCCGAAATTAGGGAGTCTACTTTTCGGATCCTCCCGGGGGAGAGCTCTTCCAAAAACTTCTTCTACATCTGGCAGCCAGCGCGGTGCGATGATGTACGGTATACACTATGCAAGGAAGTTTTGCAGGGTCGAAGCATACATATATATATATATATATGCATATATATATACACATACATATTTATATAATATGTTTCTGTATACACATACATAGTATGTACTACATATAATACGCAGACAGTAGCAATCTACAGCTGTCATGAACACATGCTGTGGGTAGTTAGTACATTCGTGGACAGCCTCACATACGGTATCCTGTGAATTCACGTACGCATAGCATATGCATAGACGGATACACAAGGGAAGGGTTTAGGAGTCAAGATCAAAACTAGACTCCAATCGTAGAACGAGACTCTCAACCGACAACAAGACCCTGCACCCTGAAGCCTAATCCCTAAAGGCGAAACCCTAGGCCCTAAACCCTAAACCCTAAGCCCTACACCTTAAATCCTAATCCCTGAACCCTAAACCCTAACCCCGCACACCCTGAACCCAGAGTCTCTATCCAGAAAGATTAAACGGACGCCGCTTTCAGGCTGGGCTGGCTCCTGGCGACCTGTCTTGTACTGGAAGATCCTCATCATCCTCAACCCTAAACCCTAAACGGCCGGATGGAAAAAGGCGTTCAACAAAAAAAACGGCCCTAAACCCTAAAACCTCATCATTATCGGCACTCCGGTGCCACCATTCGTCCTGCTGCTGCTGCCGCTGCTTATACTACTGCTACTGCTAGCTGCTGCTACTACTACTACTACGACTACTACGACCACGACGACGACGACTACTACTGCTACTACGGCTGCTACTGCTGTTGTTGCTGTTACTACCGATATTACATGACTTGAGCGAATACAGTTTTTTTTGTCATTTTGGGGTGCAGGGCTTCGGTGTGGGGGTTTGGAGTTTTGGGTTTCAGGTTGAACTTGAAGGTTTTGAAGCTTCAGGTCTAGAGTTTACAAGTGAGAGGTGGGGATGGGCGGGGTTCCACGGGGTAGCTTGCAGTTGAGCGGGGCTTAGGTTTCACCTCCCAAATGTGGTTATCCAGACTAACAGCCCAAGTCTGAATTAAATCCCAAGCCAACTTTTTTGAAGATATTTTGTTTTTTTGTTGGAGGGCTGCTTCGTGCGCGAAGACATGTATTTGGACTGTTTGGTAGTGGTCATGCTTCATTGTCTGGTATGTATTCAGGGGACATTTGCTGTTTCAGCTTGTGCTTGCAGTTGGGTTCCGGGTTTGGGAGGCTGCTCCGCCGTTTCGGGTTGAAGGTTGGGAGTTTCAAAGAAAATTAAGGGTACCGTATTTTGGGGTCCTTATAATAAGGATCCTACTATTTAGGGTACTACTTAGGGGTCCCATTTTTTCGGAAACTCCCATATCAGAATTTGCTTTGAGCCGTCAACCCGTAAGCCCACTCTCAACTGCATAGCTGGGCTAATCCCAAAGCACCCCTGAGCTTCACAACTACGCACGGTGAGGTGGTTCCCATTTTCGGCCTCTTGCTGACTGCAGTGCTGGCTCTAATGCCACGCCCTTAGCTGACTCTGGCTCTCTGCTTCCTTACGACTTAAGAATGGGAGGTGTCGTCATGTGTGGGTGTTATATGTCCGGTCCCAGGGTTTTGGGGAGTTCCTACCAAAGCGCTGAGCCCGGAGCCGTCAACCACGAACACGAGCTCCAAACAATCAAAGCGTTTGTCCTTCTGTTCTTGAGGATTCCTTATTCTGAATATAGTTACCATCTTATACTCTCAAGCCCTGTTCTAATGATGAAGGCCCTAGTTTTGCCCCGAGCACTGAGTGCCCGCAATGCGAAACCGGAACTTCACAACCTTCCCGAAGCCGGATCCTCCCGTCTGGAACTTTGAGAGCAAGCCCGGTGGTGTTTTTTCTGCCAGACGAGTTGCTCCAATGTTGATGATGATGATGATGATGATGACGATGACGATGATGTCGATGATAAAGGCATTATTGTGCATTGCCGTCATTACTCAACCCTACCATTAACTTCAAAGCTTCCTCACGTACATGCTACATAGATTCGCAAGCGAGGAGAACCCTCCTTCGAAGTCTGTCACCACAGCGGGTCTTCGGCGTCTTTTTGTGCCACCACAAGGCGAGCTCTGGGGTATGGGGCTATGGGCTTATGTGCTTTCTGTTGTAGGGCTTAGTGCTCACAAGTGGAGATGGGGTATGGCGCCTGAACTGAGAGAAGCCCTTAGCATAGCAGGCAGAAGCAGCCAAGAAGGATCCGCCGCGTTGTGATCTAAGACGAGTCTTTTACAGGAGGGTGTCATTCGAGTGACATGGCTATGAGAGGCCACTGATAGAGTAGGCACGCCAGAAAGGATACATCCTGTAGACAGAACGCTGGAGGCATCACGCTAGACCGATCGAATCTGGACTCAACACTCGCGCCAAAACTTAAAATCTATAAGCCCTTTATCCTAAATCTAGACGTTGAACCCTGAACCTACGTTTTCCACCACATGCGGATTCCGTTTTACCGAACAGCGCAGAAAGAACGAGGCGGCCAACAAGAAGCCCGAATCTCTAAACCCTGAACTCGACTGATCGAACCTGATCACAGCAGTTTCAACTTCTGGGGGGTCTGAATTGAGCCTTAACCCCCAACATGTACAAATCCTGTGCAATGCGATGTTAACGGGTAGCCATGACCATACCATCATGACCATACCACCATACCCTCCCAGCTCGAAACTCCCAACAGTCAATTTCGGCCCCCAAACCCTGACAAAAATTCTTTAGACACCCTCATAAAATCGTATAAACCCCGTTTAGAACCCGTATAAACCTTTGAATCGCCTGGCATCGAAACTGCCAGGGCACGGCGGGCAGTCTGTGCCGGCTGATCAAAATTTTGATCGCCAGGCCGGACCTAAGCCCTAAACCTTGAACCTTAAACCCTAAACCTTAAACCCTAAACCCTAAATCTTAAACCCTACATCTTAAACCCTGAAACCTAAGCCCTCAAACCCGAACCCTGGAAGCCAACGTTTGGGGGTTTTAGGGTTTAGGGTGTCGGACTTTAGCTTAGGGCTTCACGGGTTTTGGGTGTTTACGGTTTAAAGGGAACTCCAGAAAGTTGGAATATGGTTTCATGGTAGGATACCCTTTAATTTACCTTGATGGGGTTACGATAATGATATTCCAACTTTCTGGCTTCTACTGTAGGGTTTGACGCTTGTAGGGGGTTTTTGGATTATGAACTGTTGTGTTCAGCTCGAGGCTATGTCGGTTCTTCATCGGGTCTGTCTAGGTTTTCATCGGCTCTTCACCGCCCACCCTTCATGTTCAATATGGGCTTGGTGGAAATGCTGAAATTGCCCAAAGACCCTTCTGCAGGCAGATCCCCGCGTTCTGATTAGTACTATGGATGCAGATCTGTAAGTTTCAGAAATAAGGGGCGCTGACATAGACCGTTAAACAGTAGGGTCCGCCTTAATTAGCGGGACGCCTGCATAAGGTAATATAGGGGCCTAAATAATTGCCAGTACTATTTTGGGTTCCTTATCATAATTATAGTATAGTGGGCCCAACAACCCGATTCTGATCGTTAAGGCCCCTATATTACGTGAGCTGCCGATGGAACTCGGTTTTCAGAAGGCGAAGGACCGCTGGTTGATCTGGTTTGCATGCACCAAGAGAACCGGCGAGGGCGAATGGTTCAAAGACCACCACCACTGGTCCGAAAACTACACCTTGGTGGAGCATCGCAGGTCGTCACCGTCGTAGTCGTAGCCTGTTTTTGTTTTAACGCTTAGAATTTAGACATCCGGCATTGTCTCGAGTACCCTGAATCACAGGGACTGCTGTTGATTTCAGTTTGGGTACTGCCCCCACTCAGTAACAGTTGAATAATCTGGTCGCCCTATTATACGCTGTTACGGTTTAGTATCGCGGCCACCTTACCCGAATGAGAGCATTGTAAACCCTGTAGCCTGAACCCAAAACCCCGCACCTGCATCGCCCCCTAACACCTTAGTTGGGGCTCGAAGTGCTTATAAGAGAAAGCGATCTATATCGGTTCTATAAGGGGAGTGGGGGGTATGGGACTTAGTAGGTATGGTTATAAGACCTTACTTGGGGTTACAAGTGACTGTAAGTATGGTTGCCCTCATCACAAGTCCAGTTACTGAGTGCCACGATCCTTTAACCAGGAAATCACTGAAGGCCTGTAGAACCTAAGCCCTTAAGCCAGGTTCCTGGAACTCTTGTTGTACCCAGGCGGAAAAGAGTTCAGAAAACCCTAAACCCTAAACCCTAGACCCTTCTGATAATGCAGTCGGAAAAGTGCCCGCAAAAGAAACCCCTAGACCCTTAACCAACCGAGGTCTCACGGCATTAGGATAGAGATCGACAAAGGCCTCCACAGTCCCAGGGTGTCAGGTTTTCTTTAGCGGTTTTTGCAGGCTGCTGGCTTGGGTCTTATGGGTGTAGAGTTTAGGGTTTAGGGTTTAGGGTTTCAGAGCTTAGGGTTTAGGGTTTCAGAGCTTAGGGTTTAGGGTTTCAAAGTTTAGGCTCTAGGGTTTAGGGTTTAGGGTTTCAGAGTTTAGGGTTGAGGGTTTAGAGTTTAGAGTTAATGTACTAGGTTTACGGAGTTCGGGGTTTAGGGTGCGCCCGAAACCCCTGAGCTTGCGGAGGGAACGAGAGACCTCGACTGGAGGCACAGTAACATCAACGTCTTCCTCGACAGCGACGAGCTGGAGAATCTGGATCTTCTTTTCGACATAATCAGAACATCCACGAGGCACCCTGGCTGCAGCATGTGTCATGACCATGAACCATGGGCCAATGTCTCTGAGAGTCGCTCTGAACCCAACGCCCTCCGCCCCTAAACCAGGAACCCTGATTCATCAACCCTAAGTACGACAAGCAGTTCCTCTCGGGAAAGAGCCTAGACCCTGAAGTCTTGATTATAAATTACAAGTATACTGTACTATACCTCTAAACCCTATTCTAGTTCTGGAGGCGCCTATTCTAGTTCTTAAGGCCCCTACTCTAGTTCTTGAGGCCCCTATTCTAGGTCTTACGGCCACGATGTTATACCCTGCCGCCCATAATTTCCGCAGCGAAGTCTTGCAGTTCCCGGCTGCAACAAGGTCAACTTTTACGATCGAAGGGCCCGATGCCCTTCTTGGATTTAGGGTTTGGGGTTTAGGGCATTTTCTAAATTGGGGAAGCAAGGGCGCTCACATAGCTAAGACGCACACTCAAACATCTCCCTCTCTCCCCTCCCACATATCCCTCTCTCTCTCTCTCTTTCTCTCCTTCCCTTCCTTCCTTCCTCCTTTCCTCCGCCCTGCCGAACAGGTGCTTCCACTGTAGTAGCTATGAGCGGAAGCAAGTCGAGGGTTGTGGAACCCGACTTGCTTTGCGCTCTTGCCCCGACGCCCTGAACTTCTCAAATCCGTCTACGCCCAACAAAAGTACTAGCTAGTCGTAGAATACCATGGATTCCAAACTGCCGTGTTGCTTTCAGGACCCGAAATACAGGTGAATTCTTGATGGTGGTTTAGCCCTCCCTCTAGATTCTAGATGGCCCCTAAACCCAACCCAGAAACCACAAACCTCACGCCGGGACCACAGGAGTGTACTGGTCATCCTGACAGCGGAGCTGCCGAAGCGCATCTGGTGCGCCGGTGAAATCGTGCCGCTTGCCATGTTGAGGGTGGTTTGGGATTTTGTGTTCAATCAAGGTATAGGGTATGCGTGGAGCTTATCCCATCAGCAGCGTCGTTACGAAGGTTGCTATCGTGTGCTACATGTCCCGGTCAACCTATGATCCTATTGACGAAGTCCATGGGAAGCCCAGCGGGATTACACGATTTGGGGTTCTGGGTTGATGAGCGGGGCTCATAGCCTTCTTGTTCAGATTCCAGCATCCAGCCTAGGTGCACCGAAGGACAGCGCCAGGATTAGGCCCTTGCTCGAGTTATATGCGCCAAAAACTCATTTTTACTTAGTAACCTATTAGGCCCTGTAACCCCCCTGTAGAACCTCAAGGAACCCCATTCTACTTATGAAGGCCACTGCAATTAAACAACATCTAGTCCCTTCAGAGAAGGCCCTCACACAGTAGTAACTCCGAAAGGAACCCTGCTGCAATCATTGAGGCCCCTATGTTACCTTGAGACCCTGAACTCGAAACAGCTCATCCAGGACGGCATTCAAGAATAGTGTGCTGACGGTCCCAGCGCTTCTTGGCATAAAAGCGCTCAGGGTTAAGAGCTTCTGGTTTGGGGTCTAGGGTTTGTGGTTGAGGAATTTTTGTTTAAGGTTTGAGTCCAGGGGTTAGGGTTCGGATCTTCATCCCTGGAAAGCCCCGAAGGCTTAAACCACGCTCTCAATACCAAATGTAATGCGGTTCCTATGTAAGTGACAATACCAAGAGTCGTTCCGACACCAACAATGGCGACATGCGTGCTCGTAGTGGCATGCGCAGCAATCACAATGAGATGAATAAGCAAGATATGAGTAAGACAGCCCCCAAGATCTTCAAAACCCCCAAATCTCTGCGTATCGTGTGTTTGAGTGTAGAGGCTTTGGATCTAGGGGGGGGCAGAGAATCCCAAACACAGTCTGTCTGCTAGGCGGAGTGAGAAGTGGGCGTTAAAATCATGCAAGCACATCACTCAGCCCATCAAGAGTAAACCCTAAGTGCTAAGCCCTGGGTTCTAAACCCTAAGCCGAAGCCCCGAACGTCAAAAGCCCCCGAAGCCCCCAGACGACTGCGCCGGGGATGTAAACTCTAGGCTCAAAAGCAGTCGTGACCAATGCCACAGGATTTGTGATGGTTTCTACCCTCCGTCTGCAGAGCAGCTGGCCGAAACAGACATAAGCGGGCAGAAATACAAGGGGATGCATATACAAGTAAGGCAATAGCTTTCTCTCTGTCTCTATGTCTCTATGTCTCTCTGTCTCTCTGTCTCTCTGTCTCTCTGTCTCTCTGTCTCTCTGTCTCTCTGTCTCTCTGTCTCTCTGTCTCTCTGTCTCTCTCTCGCTCTCTCTCTCTCTCTCTCTCTCACTCTCTCTCTTCTTTTTTTCCGTCTCTCTGTATCGCGCGCTCGCTCGCTCGCAAGCTTTGTACATGAAGAAATAACAAAGATATGCAGATAATATGCGTATATATAAAAAGTTCAGTGCACATTAATATGCACATACATAGATCATTAGACACACAGATAGATATGATAGATGCATGTGTTTGCACCTCGCTGTGTGTTTATGTGTTGGGTGTTTACTACAGAATCTAGCTCCCAGCACACCCACACACACACATACAATACATGCGTGCTACATATATGTACACATATTTATATGCACATGTATATCTGCGCGTTATCCAGGTTCAGTTTTCGGTGGGTTTCGGCTGCAGGGTTGGGCCGCAGGCTCAGCAAAGTGCACGCTGAAAACAAACTTAGAAGGGGGTGGATATGTTGCAGTATACCCATATAGGGATTATAAGTAGGCGCAGGACGCTAAGCCCTAAACCCTCAAACCCCAAACACCAAACAGCAAACTCCCCGCGCTGCTTATGTTGGGGATAAAGGTGCTCTAAACAAAAAACCCTTCTAAACCCCAAACCTTAAACCCAAAATCCTTCAATCCTAAACCTTAACCCCTAAACCCTAAACCTCTAGAGGGGCCGTAAGTGCCCATGTACGCCTGACGCTGTATGCAGACACCAGAAGGCTCCCCCCTCCCCCCTCCCTCCAAAAAAAGACACTTTTTACAGCGCCTAAACCACTAAACCCTAAACCCTTAAACCCTGAACCCTAATCCTTAAGCCCTAACCTTTGAACTCTCCTCTAAAGCCGTCCTATCGACCAAGAACCGCACCGGGGGTCTGTTCTCAGTTCGGGTTTAGGGTTTGGGGGTTTCGGGGTTTAGGATCTAGGGTTTTGGAGTTTTGTTTCCGCGTGCGGTGCCGATTGACCCCTCGCTAGAAAGCCTACTTGGAGGATCATGGGACTTAGTAATTATGGTTATAAGTATCTTAAATGGGGTTATAAGTTTTAGAAGTATAGTTGCCTTCGTAAGAACCCCAGTTACGAAAGTCCCATGATCCTTTAAGTAGAGCAGCACATCAAGGCCGGAAGCGTTACTCCAGCTTTGCACAGTGAATCCTAGGTCCTAAGCCCACAGCGCCAAGCCCTTAAACTCGACAATCCCAACCCAAAGTTCCTAAACCTTGAACCTCTTAAACCCCTGCAGAACCCTACACTTCCGAGGCCCTACATTCCTACGCTTCAAAGCCCCCTAAACCCCAAACCCCTAACCCTAAACCCCCAAACCCCAAACCCTAACCCCTAAACCCTAACTAAACCCCCAAACCCTAAACCCTAACCCCTAAACCCTAACCCCTAAACCCTAAACCCTAAGCCCCAAAGCCAAAGGCAGCTCGAGATCCTTCCGACGCTCTGGGCTCCGCAGCAGACGCAGTTGCTGGCCAACTCAGGCCGGAAGGCATCCAAAAGTCATCTGGGTGGTTGTCAAAATTATGGTCCCTTTTTGGGGTACCCTAAATATTAGGTGCCGTATTATAATAGGGACCCAAAAAGGGACCATGATTTTGACAACCACCCATCTTTGTACGGTCTGGGCAAGCACTAAAGTTCCAAGGGTGTCTATCAAGGCTCTTTGAGGGCGTCTACAGTTAACAAGGTGTATGCGTACAAAGCCGCGGTTTCAGGGTTTCAGATCTCAAAGGGTGCCAATTTGCTGCAAAGACTGGGGTGTATGTAAAACGCACGAAGGTGTGGAGCTGAAGGACGTGGCCAAGGCGTACTACTGGCTGCTGACGCTTGCCTCTCCTATTAAGAACACAATACCTGTAATCCACAGCAAGAAGCCTTAAAGTATTTCAGGGGTCTAAGGTACCGAAGCCACTTTTAAAGCTCAAGATGTAGGGCTTTCTGATTCTGGGGTTTAAAGCTTCTCCAAGCTTATTTCCTCCAAAGCCAAGCAGGCCCCTGCTCTACCGCTTGCAAAGATTCCCTTCGAGCGCGGGTTTCTGAAAGCGTCGAAGCGGAACCTTCCAGACCTGAGCCCCTGAAGCCATTCTCCCGAAAGCCGAACACCCAAGCCACTTCGAAATGATGCGAAATGGCACGAGGAACGAGCTGTCTCCTATGACACTGCCACGATTTGGGCCGGTTGCCTCCTCAGCGATGGACCACTGCAAACCACAGGGGGTTTGATGCTACTATGGGGGGCTTTAACTGAACAGACTTTTCTGGGTATATTACCGTAGTGTGATTAGCATAGCTACATATGGACCAAAAAGGAAATTTACTCGTTGTTAGGTAAGATGATCTACAAAGCCCTGGACCCCAAACCTGTAAACCCTCGAACCCTGACCCTCAACCCTGCACCCTAGACCGAAAAGACGTGGGATGATGTGGACGACGAGCTTGTAGATCCTAGTCAGAAATCGCGTACGGTTAGTTGGACTATCACCAGTAGAAGTTTTTTGGGCTTAGAGTTTTCTTTATGTGCTGTTGCAATTGTACTACGGTTGATGATATAAATCCTGCGTTACCCACAACAAGGAATATACCATAATTCCCATAGTTTAGGGTCCTTAGGGTAATGCAGGATTCATATCATCAACCGTATCAGTACTGGCCTTCAGAGCGCGTCTGCTACATAGGCCAAAGAAGGACACAGCAACTCGGATAGAACAAGCAAATCCTAAACCTGCGAAGCCTAAAGCCTAAACCCTAAAAGCCCCAAACCCCGAAACCACAAACCGGTTAATATAGGGGCCGCATCATTACTAATATGATTCCTTCTCATATCTGTATTATAGTATGACCGCAAACCCTATTCTAGTTAGTGAGGACCTTACTTAGAGGTTCATGGGTAGTAAAAAGTTGGGTTAAAGAGTAGTTATCCTACGAAGCCGTGCCCAAAACTACTCATGAACCTGCAAGTGGAGTCCTTATGGATCCTTTATAGAGCCCTTATAAGCCGTGCTTATAACCACCCCTGGAGCTCCCAGCATGTTTCCCTAAACCAAAACCCAAAAACCTAAGGTAAAAGCCAGAAAGTTGGAATATGATTATCCTAACTTTCCTATGGTAAATTATAGGGTATCCTACCCTGAAACCATATTCCAACTTTCAGGAGTTCCCTGTAATCCGATCTCCATGACCAGGTTTGGAAGCGAGAGGCTTCGGCTATCTGGTCTGCACACCATGGGAGTTTTCCAGGGGTTTGGGGTGGGTTTAGGGTTTAGGGGTTGAGGGCTTAGGATTTAGGGTTGAGGGTTTGAGGGTTTAGGGTTGAGGGTTTGGGGTTTGCTAGGGAGTCCGATGATGTAGGGTTTAGGGTTTAGGATTTAGTAAGGATCCTTATGATTTAGGGCTTAGGATGCCTGTAACAAGGATTCCGGGGTGTAGAGGGCTACTACAAGGTCTTCATACGGGTATTGCATGAATTTACTGCACGGGTATGATTGGGTTACTATCCGGCTGGTGCAGGGTTTTGGGCCTAGGCTTTGGGGCTTCTACTCAGGATCCGACTCTCTTGGGTTTTGTATTAGGCTTCCGCATTTTCTAGGTGGGTAGGGATTGTCGTGCTCAGGACGTAGGGTACGGTAGCACGCAAATACTGTAGCGGCAGCACTACTAGCGGTGGTGGTGGTAGGAGTCGTTCTAGTCATCATCGTCGCAGTTGTCGTGGCTGTGTTGACGGTCTGAGGGCGTTGGTGATGAGCGCGGCGACGGTGGTGGTACTGATGGCCGGTGAAGTAGTACCAGTTCCTAGTAGTATCAGATAGTATCAACAACTGTAGTGTCAACACTCACGAATGTAGGTCAATGCCATGCTAGTGCGAATAGGAACGCCGCCCATGCTACGTATCCGTGAATTGCCATTGAGAGAGGGGATGCTAGTGATAGCAGTTTACGGAGTGATGAAACCTGCTCCACACTGTTATTCCACCAGCCGTCCCACAGACCCAAAACCCTAAATCCTGACCCCTACCAGGTCGTGGTTGCTCTGAAGCGCTGCGGCGCTCAGATTAGTGGGAGCTCTTCCCGGATGCTCGAAGCGAGCCGGCAGAACGTCAATGCAGGCCATCATATTACATAGTTTTTTATATGATACATAAGATCCTTTGTATACGGTATGTTAGGTTTTATATACCCTGTTGATTCGTTGAGTTTGGGTTCGATGATCTGACGATCTTGCCATTCACGCGTGCCCTCTGGTGGAGTCATGACAACCCCGCTCCACAAGCCATGGGGGTTTCCGAAAATAGTGGGCCCTAGTGTAACACCCTAAATAGTATCCTTCTATGGACCCCGAAATAAGGTACCCCTTATTTTCGGATGGAAGTTTCCATGTGGCGATTCCGGAACGACTTCCGACATCAACGGTTTACGCGCCACACCCGCCATCGCATCACGAGATGGGCGTCGTCATCATCAGCATCATCGTCATAACCACCTTAATCTTCATCGCTATTTTCACCATCAGCTGCACCATCGTCAGCTTCGTCATCGGCGTCGCCGATTGTGTCACCATCGCAAAATGCAATCCGACATGCCAAACCGATTTTCTCCAGGTCTGCAAACCTTCCACCGTCCACCCTCACTTCTTTGAAGCCCGAACCCGAAACCCGAAAATGGTAAACGCTAAACCTCGACCCCCAACTTACTCGGTAAACCCTGAACAGTGAACCCAAAACCTTAAGTCCTAAACCCTAAACTCCAAACACTAAACCCTAAACCCAGTCAAGTGGGGGGCGCCCAGCAGTCGTGCGACCAAAAGGCCTTCCAAAAAAAGCAACCCCAAACCCTGAACCTTAAACCCAAGCCCTAAACCCTGAACCTTAAACCCTAAACCCTGAACCCTCAACCCCAAATCCTAAACCCTGAGCCCTTCCTTCCCCCCAAACAGACTTTTGGAGTCGGGAAGAGGCGCCCGCATCCTCATCACCAGCTCTGTGGCGGATGCCGAGTCCCTCTCCACATGTGAGGCCGTGGATAGCATGAGGGTTGCGGGTAAAGGGTCTTTGGGGTTTTAGGGTTTTAGGGTTTTAGGGGTTTAAGGTTTAGGATTTCCGGTTTTAGGGGCTTAGGGTTTTGGGGTTTAGGGTTTAGGGTTTTGGGGTGTCAGGGGTTTTAGGGTTTTAGGGTTTAGGGTTTCGGCTTGTAGGGTTCAGGGTTTCAGGATCAGCCCTTAACCCTAAACCTTATCGGTGTACGATCTGGAGTCATTGGCTCCGCGGGCTAGGAGGTCAGGCTTTGTTGTTGCTTTCGCAGCATTTGCTTGCGGACCTGAGGTTCACAGCCGTGTATAGGTGTATATATGTATTCATGTACGCAGGTACATATACAGATATGTCCAATAGCTGGCATACTCACTCTCACTCACTGCATTACTACATAATCTGACCTTGTTACCCCTCAATCTCACCTGGACATACACATATCTACCAAATCTCTTAAATGAGGACTATCATTCAAACTATAATAGGTCTCCTACCGCAATCCCTAAGAATCTGCACATAGTTCACTAGAGTAGGGTCCCTTTCAGGGTCTTTTCGATAATATGGTTCCAGTATTATTTTGGGGGGACCTAAAACTACATGTGGGCGGTTGTCAATATTAGGGTCCCTTTTTGGGTACCTTAAATATTTGGTGCCGTACTATAATAAGGACCCCAAAAAGGGACCCGAATTTTGACAACCACCCGTATCTAGGTTTCTCTGGGAGTCTCGCAGCCATCCTAAGGTCAGCTCAGCTGTCGTTCACCCATCCACCGATAGCCTCAGCCCGGGTTTAGAAATTGGGGTTTAGGGGGTTTAGGCTTTCCGATTATATTTTAAGGTATATGCCTCAAAGAAGGGGTATGACGGTTCAGAGAGTTAAGGGTTTCCGATTATATTTCAAGGTATATCCCTAAATGAAGGGGTATGACGGTTTAGGGTTTGCTGTTTAGGGTCTAGGCTTATAGAAGGGGCTAGGAGCTATGGTTTAGTGTATCGGCTTTGTGGGGATAGGGGTTTCGGGTTTAGGGTTGAGGGAAGTGCCGGGCTTGGTGAGATCGAGGTTCAGTGCTTACTAACCGGGCTGCCGCTTTGGTTTAGCGTTTAGGGTTTAGGGTCTAGGGTTTAGGGTTAAGGGTTTAGGGGTTTAGGGTTTACAGGTTTAGGGTTCCGGGTTTCGGGGCTTAGGGTTTAGGCTGAGCACTTCTTCAAGCCCCTGAAGCCCCAAGAGGCCCCTGGAATCCTTAGGCCTAAAGCCATCCCGCACCTAACCTAGGGTTTAGGGTTCCTAAACCGTCAGCTCTATAGCTTACATCCGCAACTCCAAAAAAATCGGAAGCCCCGACCCAACTCGCAGTAGGTAAGTTGGGAAGACCGCACTCCATGGTTGGCATTGAGTCAGACTTGGTTCTTGTAGGACTTTATGGAAGTATTTCCGGGTGTAGGGCTTACAAGGTTTTGGAGGGATTGATTAGGGGCTTCATGACCTCTGAGTTTGAGATAGGGGTGGTTGTCAAAATTGGGGTGCCTTTTTGGGGTACCCTAAATGTAAGGTGCCGTACTATAGTAGGGACCCAAAAATGGACCATAATTTTGACAACCACCCATAGAGGTTTAGGGGGCTAGGGACTTCAAGATCCGCCACTCGAAATCCCAACCCCCGCAGCCCAAGTCCTTGTTGGTGAACCTCTTGCAACCCTGAACCCGAAATCAACAGTTTGAAGACTCCTAGAGGCCCAGAAATCCTGAACCTTGAAAACCGAAAAGCTCTGAAGCCCCGAACTTGCTTTAACCCCCTGTAAGGACCTTAACCTAAACCCTGACCTTTCCAATAACCACCTTAAACGCTCACCGGGCCCGGGAGGTTTTTCAGAACATCCTGCAGAGTCATCTGCACGTCGAATGTGCCTCCGGTCTTACGGGGAATTCGGCTTTCGGTGGGAGTTAGGGTGCGGGGTTTCGGGTTTAGGATTTGGCCCTGAAGCTCTCAGCCCTAAACCAGGAGCTACGAGGAGTTCGGAAGTGCATTGCTTCTTCTTTTTGTTTGGTACGGTTTAGGGTTTAGTGTTTAGGGTTTAGGGGTTTAGGGGTTTAGGGGTTAAGGGGTTTAGGGGTTTAGGGTTTTGGGTTTAGGGTTTTGGGGCCTCGGTTGGGGCACAAAGCACTTTCACCCAGGCTCCCTGCAGTCTCGCACCCACCGAAGCGCCGTAAGAAAGCTCAAAAGGGAGCGGGCTCAGTAATTAATGAGTATATAAGACTATCCCTGTGTAGGCCATGTTAAAATGCTAGTATAATATCCCCCCAAGCCTATTCTAATTGTTAACGCCCCGATAAATAGACAGAACATCCTAGACCCCTAAACCCTAAGCCCTAAACCCTCACCCTGAGAAAAGGAGCTCAAAAAGAGCCCTCACCCTGACATCTTCGTTCCCAAACCTGGGGCCCACACTTCTCCGTGGAGACCGTGTGAGGTGCAGTGGTGCACAACTCGCTTCAGATGGTCCGCTGGAAGCGTTGGGCCTACTACTTCGTGGTGCTCTTCTTCCGGGGAGCCTTGGTTTGAGTTTAGGATCGGTTGATGATATAAATCCTGCATTAGCCATAATAAGGAATATACCATGGTTCCCATAGTTTCGGGTCCTTGAAGTAATGCAGGATTTATATCATCAGCAGGATTCAGGGTTAGCCCTCAACGCTGAAGCGTAGACGCTACAGCTGCGGCGGCAACCCCAAGCCACAATCCCCAAAGCCTGAACCTTGAAGCCTTAGCTCTAAACCTCAACCCCCAAAGCCCTAGGCCCGTAAAAAAAAACACTTATATTAAAGGAACCCTTGAAGGACCCCTTAAAGGATCCCTTAAAGGAACCCTTAAGGGCAGAGGCTTCGAGCCAGGTTGGGAGTTGCTTAGGTTTTCGATTTTTTTGGATTGGGTTTAGAGCCTAGGGTTTAGGGTCCCCGCAATTTTGTATCGTAATGTATCCCCGAAAAGCTTCTAAGATATGCTTTTGCAGAGACACGGGCACGTAGCTCTGGCTATGCACACTCTTGCAGATATCATCCTTCGGTAAGATGCGCGGAATCATGCCGCTGGTCTCGTGGACCGACAGCGAAGCCGTGATGAACAGTTGAACTCCGGGCGATGCACGTGCAACATGACGCAGACGCTGGTCGACTCGCAGTTCGTTATGTTCCTGGCGGCAACAGTCGAGCCAACAGAAGAAGATATTTCTGGCCGATACCTTTTCTTACTAGCTCACTATCTTTGTTGTCCTGCCTGGGGCCGGCGCCGGCGCCCAAACCCGAAGGTGATCTCTGCCTCGAGACCGACTCCCTTTCACCCAGCTCGGAGTTTGAGGCGTAGGGTCCCTAGAAATTCCATAGTAGGGTTTACAAAAAGAACCCACAAAAAATTGGTTTTGGTAGGTAGCTCTTAACTCTGAATAGTGAGACGTGGCTTGGGGTTCGATGTTTGGCTTGGGAAGAAAGAAGCCTTAGTAAACCCGCTGATTGAAGATTCAACTCTCAAAGTCCAAGGCTTCACCCTGAACTTACTGACCTCTCCATGCGCCGGAGGAGGTTTCAGTATTCTTCTCAAACGCAAACACACATGTGCTTGCGCTCCGAGCCTTCAATCGGTTCAACCCCGGGTTTGCAAGAAAGACTCAGCCTCCTTGAAGTTCCTATGCCTCGAAACCGAAGTGCCTCACAATCTAAGCCTCTAAGCCGAAATCCTTAAATCTTAAATCCTTAAATCTTAAATCCTAAACCTTAAATCCTAAACCTTAAAGCCTAACTCCTGGACCCTAACGCCGAAACCCGGCCCTAGACCTTGTAATTTCCGGTGCCCGAAAGCCGAGAGCCCCAAGGCCGAAATAAAGCTTATGAGTTTAGGGTTTAGGATTTTTTTTTTGCAGCCCGGTTTAGGATTTAGGGTTTAGGGCCCAAGGTTTAGGGTTTAGGGTTTAATTTAGGGTTTAAGGCTTAGGTTTTAATGTTTAGGATTTAGGGTTTAGGGTCCAAGGTTTAGGGTTTAGGGTTTAAGGTTTGGGGTTTAAGGCTTAGGTTTTAATGTTTAGGGTTTAGGGTTTAGCTCTGGCCTGAAGTCCTACGCCCAGAACCCTACAACCCTATACTTCAAAACCCTGCAACACTTTAGCAAGCTAAAGCGCTGTAAACCCTAAGAACCTCACACTCTCACAAGCCAAGAGGCATGCCGAAGACTTACACGCTGAACTACCCTAAATTTGTAGCTCCCAGCCCCAAATCCTAACCCTGTAAACCCCCCCTTGACCCTAAACCTTAAACCCTAAACCCTAAACCCGAAACCGCAAACTCAGACGGAGGCTACCCGATCCACAGTCTCCATGAGCACAGCAAATCCTACACCCTAAACCCAACTTAACAGCAAACCCCCAGACCTCTTGGAGGTTCCTGGGCAGCTATAAGTAGGGTTATAAGAAGTTATAAGTAGGGTAACTTTTCTTATAGCCTACTTGGAGGGGCAGGGGACTTGGTTATAAGAAGAGTTATAAGTGCCCTCAATGGAGTCTGCCCCTCCAAGTAGACCCTAAATCCCAAACCCCCCCTTTAAGGAGCCCTACAGATCCCTTTATGGAGCCCTTTAAGAACCCTTACTAAGTCCCCTGCAGGGGACCCAGGGCTTCTCTTACAACTACCCATGAACCTCCAAGCCGATCCAAAGAGCGGCAGACTTCGTAATCCCCAAACCCTGCAAAAAACCCAGCGTCATGCTCCCTGACCCTGGGGCTGCAGTGCAGGGGTTGGGGTTTTAAGGGCCTTACAATCTTAAGATCATCAACCTTATAAGCTCCTGAACTGTAAACTCAGAGGCTTTTCAGGATTGAAATCAAATTCTAGAAACCCTGGATTGCTAAGTTGAGCCCAAAGCCCCACAAATCCGTCAGGATTTGAAAACTACACTCTCAAGAACTCCAGAGGCCTAAACCTTAAATTGCAGCCGTTCTACTGAACACCAGCCTCCCCACACCCCAAGCATCCTCACCCTAGAACCCTAAGTCCCAAATCCCAAACGTTATACAACCCAGGGTCAAGCTTCGTGATTCCCAAAGCCCTATGAAAATGCAGAAAGCTCTATAAACCCATCAGCCCTCATCCTCTAAAGTAAAAGCCAGAAAGTTGGAATATGATTATCCTCAACCCTGTATGGTAAATTATAAGGTATCCTACCCTGAAACCATATTCCAACTTTCTGGAGTTCCCTCTACTTGGAGGATCATGGGGACTTGGTAAGTATGGTTGTAAGTACCCCTAAGTCCTATGATCCTTTAAGTAACCCGAAACCCTATCAGCCCTAATCCCCTGCACAACCCCCAAACCCGAAATAAACCCTAAACCCTTAATTAACTGTAAACCCTAAACCTTAAACCCTGAACCCTAAACCTTACCCCTAAGTCCCATGATCCTTTAAGGAAACCCTGAACCCCAGAGGCATGCTCCGGGATCCCCTCTTTGCAGAGATCCTGGACTCGGCTTTTCACGCCCCTGGAAGGAGCCTAGAGGTCGTCACCGTGCCCGGGTCCTTGTTGAGCTAATGTCTGTTTTTTTTTTTTTGCTGTTTTTTCTATTTTTAGTTTATTTATTGCGGTTTCGTGTTTTAGGATTAGGGTTTAGGGTTTAGGGTTAGGGTTTGGTGTTTGCCGTTTAGGGTTTCGGGTTTAGGGTCTAGGGGTTAGTGTAAATGCGGCTTCGGAAGGGCTTGTAAGGTTGCCCTAGGATTTCAATAGGTCTTTCGAAGGGCTCTTTTTAGGTTGCGATAAGGGGTTCGCAGATTTTTTGTTGGTGAGGTTTTGTTGGGGTTATGTAGTTACATCGGTCTCCTTGTCAAGGAACAGGGCCTTATTGGTTTTAAAGTTGCCACAAAGCGTGATAACTGGTGTGGTTCCTTTATGATCTTCCGTAGCCAGGAGCCAGAAGAGAGGGACTTTGTTTTGACTGGCATGACTTTGTAGTGCGTATTGATGCCACTATCAAGCCTAAAAGGCAGCTTCTGGGCTCACATATCATGGACGCACCATCGCAGTCACATCTTCCTTTGTCGAGCACTCGTCAAGGGCTTGGGGCTATAGTTATACTGTAAGAACCAGCCAATCCTTATAGGTGATTGTCAATATTAGGGTCCCTTTTTGGGTCTTTATTATATTACGGCACCGGATATTTAGGGTACCCAGAAAGGTGCCATCAATTTGACAACCACGCATATTGTAACTACTCAAACCGTTATATGAACAGCAGCCGAAAATACGTGTCGAAATCCAACAGGTGCTGGCGGACCCGCACTTCGACTTCCGCTCAGCTGAGTCCTATGCCTATGAAGGCATGTTCCGAGACGAGGACCACTTCAGGCCGGCTTAGGTTCAAAGGAGTGCGGCTTAATCGGGACAGCCGTAAAGCCGAAACTCAGAAGCAGACAAAACATCTCAAATCCGAAATCCTGAACCACAAACTCTCCGAATCAAGGGTATAGGGTTTAGGGTGATTAAAGGCGCACTGCATTCTTCAATAAGTCTCGATGCTAGGCCCGCACTCTCGAGCTTTCAGGTTGATCTTTTCCCAGTTCGGGGCTCTGCAAACCTTCCGAGGAATCTGGGGCTTAGGGCTTGAGAGTGCAGGGTTTAGGGTTTAGGGTTTAGGGGTAAAGGGGTTAGGATGCAGGGTTCAGTGTTGAGGAAGTTTAGAAATCGGATAGGCATGCTTTAGTTCTGAGGGTGGAGGGTTCAGCTTGAGGAGCATCGAAGCTTCGAGGAAGGGATTTAGGGTTTAGGAATGAGACGTTCAGGGTTTACGGGAAAAGCCCCAAACCCTAAACCCTAAACCGTTTTAACGTTTGTGCTTGTCACGGCCAACAGACCCGAAATCAAAAAAATCTTACGACCCCACGCCGCAAAGCTCTGGAAGTCCCCTGCTTGCAGTGCGCGGACCAACATACAGCGGCTTGCCAAGGCGGGGTGGGAGCCCATGGGCCAGATCTATACTTCTTGCGGGGGCTTTCTAAAACGTTGGGGTTATTTTATATAGTAGACGATCCGGTTATTTGTCAGGGTTTGGGACATGTGGGACTTAGGGTTTAGGGTCCGTTGTTTTCCAGGCTTCTACCTCCAACCTGATGCCAGGCTTAAATCCTCAACTCAAGACCGTAACTCTCAAGCTTCAGTGTGTCTTCCCATGTCTCAGCTCATGTCACTCTAGTAGTATCTTTCTTGTCGAACATGTTCGTGGCAGGTAAGATCCCCCGCCCCAGCCCAAGCCACATGACAGGCCGGTTCTCAGAATTCAACTGTGCCCTACGCTTTTGCCAGAAGTGGTCATTGCTGTAGTTCAGGTCTTGCTCAAAAGCCTCGGATGAATGAGGACCCCTCCTAGAGTCCTAGAATGGTTAAGGATCGCAGACGACCGGGGATAGGGGGGGGGGGTTGCAACTTTTGGGGTTATGTATTTTCAAACTAATATGTCCATACATACTATGTGCATATTTACATCTAGGGTTTATGGGCTTCAGGGCCAGGGACTTAGGGTTCTATAAGCGTACTATATAGAGTTATATGGTTTAATTGGGGTTTATCTAAACCCTAAACCCTTAAACCCCTAAACCCTAAACAAACCCTAAACCCGAAAGTATAAGGGTGTAAGCTTCAGGGATCCAGGATACTATGTGTGGGCCCTAAGCTTTATAAATTTAAACCTCACGACTGAGCACCCAAAACTGCAAGCCTGAAACCTGAAACCTGGGGCGGTAGACCCCAGTTCTTGTAGCCTCGAATCCCTGAGCCCAAACTCGCAGATCGAAATGGCTTTGGCTGTAAGGCTGTCAGCCCGAAGCGCTAAACCTGAAACTCCCCCCCCCCCTCCTCCTCCAACAAAAAGAATAAGCGAAGAAGGCCTTCCGGACGCTCCTGATGATCGTTGCGCTGCCCTTCACTCCTGTCGATTCTTTCGGCCTACAGAAGAAGCAGGTGGGGTGGGGAGGACTGCACTAGACGGCTTTAGAGTTTTAGACAGTTCCTTCGCCAATTTACTGACTTTTGTTGTTCATGGCAGCGTTATCTCCATGATTCGTCTTAAGGCCAGTTGTTTACCACTATTCCGCTCGTCGGTTGCGCTTGCAATCTTCCATCACAGCAACAAGAGCCATGACAAGTAACTCTACGTTATGTGCGATCTAGATTATCTAAACCCACATGCATGTTTGGATACCCCCTAAATATCAGAAAGTGAAGCCTAAAAGACCCTAGTGCACAGAGCTACCTTCATGTTTGCATGTGACCACGGTAACCTCATAGACTTATAGTAACTTTTATGGGTGGTTGTCAAAATTACGGTCCCTTTTGGGGTCCTTATCATATTACGGTACCTAATGTTTAGGGTACCCCAAATAGGGGCCCTAATTTTGACAACCACCCTAAACCCTAAACCTAAACCCTAAACCCTATGGTAACCTACCCCTTATAGTGCTTTTCAGCGGCTCCTCCGCTGCTGAGGTGTCGGAGATCGCTTTGCGGTTTCGCCGGTACAAGGAGAGGTTTAGGGTTTAGGGTTTAGGAGTTTAGGGGTCAAGGGTTAAGGGTTTAGGGTTACGGGTTTAGGGTTTAGGGTTAAGGGTTCAAGACTTCAGTGTTCAGAGTTTAGGAGCTTGGGTTTAGGGTTTAGGAGTTTAGGAGTCCAGGGTTTAGGACCTAAACTTTTTAAGTCGGTGTTGCGCTGTAGAGAACTACGAAGTTTCAGCTTGAGTACCACTACGTCGTCCGTAAGTGATATGACTCATCCAAGCTGTAGGAGTTTCCGAAAACAAGGGGTACCTTATTTTGGAGTCCTTATAATAAGGATCCTACTATTACCACCCTATGATGAGCCCCGACAGTCGACAGATCTCCGCTCAAGCATAGAGCGAATCAGCAAGACTCGGAGCCCTCGAGGCAACACACCCTGAGCTGCACATCTCGCAGATCCCAATCCTAAACCCAGGACCCTACTATAGGTGCTTACATAGCCAAAAGAATTGCTAATACTGGTTCCTTAATATAAGTATAGTATAGTATACCCCAAAGCCCTATTCTAATTATCAAGGCCCCTATATTAAATGCCACGTTCTTGTTCCCCTCAAAGCGGTTTAAGCCCTGCTCTCGGCACCTTGCCCACCCAACCCCTAAACCCTAATCCTAAACCCCTAAAACCCCTAAGCCCAATCCTAAGCGCCGAACCCTAGTTAAGCTTGCAGTTGCAGGAGAGAGCTGCAGCAGCCGCGATGGACGAGGCGGATGACGACAGCTCCTCGTCCATTAGAAGTCAGAGGAGTCCATCTCCCGTGTTTCGGACATCAAAACCCTAAACCCTAAGCCCTAAACCCCAAGCCCTAAGCCCTAAACCCAGGGAGTTTATGGTTTTGCGCTTGAAGGGGCTCTTGGGTCTGTGTTTAGTTTAGTTTGGAGTATAGACTCCCGACAGCTTGGAGACGAGTTTGGATGGATGACAGGGGCCAACATCAATGGAGCTAGTACAGCAGACACTCCATGTGAAATTTCTACAACCATGAACCCAAACCCTAAACCACAACCCTTGTCACTAGTCGCAATTGACAACGCCAAGGCCAGAGCCGCAAATCCTTGAGCCCTGAGCCCTTAACAAGCCTACGTAGGCATGGACTACACTACATGGGATACACGTACTAACCCTAAGCCCTCAACTGGTTCCGACGCCTTTGTTGCCCAGTCGTTCGCGCCGAATTTGGCGAGAAGATTGCGAGCGAAGTCGGCAGCGAGGAAGCTTTCCTCGACGAGGTCGGACCCCTGCTGCCCCTCCTCCCCTCCTCTGGCTGCTACTACTACTACTACCACTACTACTACTACTACTACTACTACTACTACTACTACTACTACTACCACTGCAACTGCTACTACTACTACTACTACTACCTCCACCACGACGTCGACTACGACTACGACTGCTACTACCACTACTGCTACTACCACTACTGCTACTACTACTACTACTACTACTACTACTACTACTACTACTACCTCCACCACGACGTCGACTACGACTACGACTACTACTACCACTACTGCTACTAGTACTAGTACTAGTACTAGTACTAGTACTAGTACTAGTACTAGTACTACTACTACTACTACTACTACTACTACTACTACTACTACTACTACGGCTACTACTGCTACTACGGTTACTGCTACTACTACTACGACTACCACCACTACTATTACTACTACTACTACTACTACTACTACTACTACTACTACTACTACTACTACTATTACTACTACTACTACTACTACTACTACTACTACTACTACTACTACTACTACTACTACTACTACTACTACTACTACTACCTACTACTACCTACTACTACCTACTACTACCTACTACTACCTACTACTACTGCTACTACTACTACTACTACTACTACTACTACTACTACCTATACTACTACTACCACCAGTTGTAGTACCACCACTACCACTACCACCACTACCACTACCACCACTACCACTACCACCACTACCACTATCACTACCACTACGACTACCACTACCACGACCACGACCACGATCACGACCATGCTCACGCTCACGCTCACGACCACTACCCCTACCCCTACCACTACTTCTATTTTGCGTGGCTGTATGCAATCCCCCGCAAGCGATCAAACTGTTCTGTTAAGTTTGTGCCTCGCTGCTACTGTCGCAAGCATCGTTAGAGTGTCACCAGCACAAAAACAAGGTAATGCTTGTTCCCTGCGGTACCAAATATCCAAAGTATCGTTAACCGAAAATCACGGCTATTCACGTGTGCCTCCCTTGACGCAGGTTTCCATGTGCTCCAAGTTCAGCGACACCGTTTCCATCTGAGCTTCTCCTCGCCCGTCCGTCCATCTTGATTGGATGCAGGAACATTCGAACATGTGTACTAAGACATATGCGCCCAGCGGTGGCGATTGTAAGCGCATGATGCAGGCGCTCTTACGTGATACGAATGAATGATTCGTCTCGCTGGGCTGTCTGTGTTTCCCATTATGTGTTTCTTGGCCTTCTTGTTGATTCATGCATCTTGGGCGGCTTTGTCGCTTGCACGTGTTGTTTGTGGTTACCCCAGTGCCTGAAAAACCCGTGCCGTTCGAGGTTATCTGCAGTCCGTAGCAAGAGACAGCAGGATTTGGGGAGTTTAGAACTGCGGTCAGCTGCCTTCCTTTCCTAGGGACTACGAACGCAATCCCGGCACCTCTAAATGCAAAAACCCAAGCCCTGTACGGTAAGCAATGCAGTAGGCCGTACAGTAAGAATTGCAGCAAGCCTTCTAGTAAACCTTCTTGTAACTGTTGTAGAAACCTTTATAGTAACCCCATCGTAACCTTTGTAGTATTTTCTTGTAGTATCAGTATGACTTGTAGGGCAGGCAGTGAATATCGTCATCTTGGACAAGGTCGGGAAGAGATTTTTCGGAGAATGGCGGAGCATTTCTGCGCGGCGGACCCAGGGGCATAAGCCAGGGTTTAGGGTTTCTGGGTTTAGGGTTTGGGGGTTTAGGTTTAGGGTTAAAAGGAAGCATAGCTCGCATCACGCAGACTTAAGTGGCAAGGATTAAACACTGTAGCTCTGTGCTCCTGTCAGTGGCGCCGATCCGATCCGGATCATTCTCGGCTGATGCTTTTGGGGTTGCCGTGAAGAGCCTCCGATTTTTCGAGTTGTCGGGTGTAGAGTTTGGGCAGTCAGTGTTTTGAGAATGGGGGCATGAAGTTTAGGGCCCAAACCCTAGACCCCAAACCTTGAACCCTGAACCCTAAACCTAAGTTCAGGGATGTTTAGGGTTTGTGGTTCGAGGCAAGGTGGCTTAGTAGTTAGAATACGATATTGGCGTTAAGTATAAGCCTAATACGGAACGCTAAGGAATAGCATTGCTCATGATTCAAGCTTCTATGTCGAGCACAGCAATAATCACAATCACGATGATACGAAGTGGCATTCAGCAGAAAACTAAGTTTCATGCTAGCAATAGCGAAAACTGGTGACAGAGGTAGCAACAGTAGGAGTCGACGTGGTCGTGGTGGTGATGGCTACTACAAAACCGATATCTGTATGTGTACAAACATAACCGTTGCGGACACAGGATGTTTCAGTGGAGATTAAGCAAATTAAGCGCGCGGTCACGAACCGTTTTAAGCATCGTCTAACACCAAACCCTAAAAACCCTAAACCCTAAAGGTTTCGGCATCCTGATAGCGCTTCATGCTCTAGACTCTAGACGGTATAAACCCAAGTCTCGGAACTTGAGCTCCAAGTCGTGCAGGACCATGATTCCTTAAGATGTGTGTATATATATATACATATGTACACAGACACATACGTATGTACAGATATACACATACATACCTACATACATACATATATACATACATACATACACCTATACACATCCACATGCACGTAAACATACACAACTACATGTACATATACATGTACATATTTATAGACATATACAACTACTTATACAAAGACATGTACGTACATGCATGCATCCATACAGACGGATAGACAGATAGATAGATAGGCAGATATATAACTTGACAGCAAGACAGATAGGCCGATAGATGGACAGATAGACTATAGCTTTTATGCCAGACACACATATTAAGCCTTGAGCCTTGTTTTGAACGGCGGCGACTCGGCAAAAGCGATCCCCAGCTACGCATCAGCTGCTTTGCCTGTGTGGGTTTGCTCGAACCCCAACCCCAAAATTTTATGCTCAAGACCCTCTACCCTAACTAAACCCTGTACACAAAACCTAGGCCGTAAACCCTAAACCGGAACCCCTAAACCCTGAACCTTAACCCTGAATCCTAAACAGAGTTCTGGTGGCCAAGCCTCTGCTGGAAGCTCAGAGGGGCTTCCTGCCTCAGCGGCCCACTCGGGTATTTTCAAGAGGGGTCAGGACGCCTGTTCCTGGACATCCTCCTTCTCAAGGGGAGAACTCGCAGCATTATCCTGATTACTAGACCCTAAACCTTCAAACCCTAAACCTAGCCCGACTCCGACAAGCTGTTTGCGATGTAGGGCTTAAGACCAAGATGCGATACCTGCCCTCCACGCCCAAAAGAGACCTCCATCTGCATTGCCAGGGTTTAGGGGTTTAGGGGTTTAGGACTTAGGGTTGTTGAGGATTTAGGGTTCGAGGTTTAGGGTTAGATCGTCTGGTGAATTCACAAGGGCCTAAACAATTACCAATACTTACTGTGGGTGTTCCTTGTTATAGTTATAATATAATGGGCCCCAAAACCCTATTCTAAATAGCGAGTATACCATAGCATCCTTATAGATCCCATATGGTACCCCTTATATAGACCCTTCAAAGGAGCCCTATTCTAATTACTAAGGCCCCTATATGATTGATTCCGGGCCACAGAGCAGAGGTCAAGAAGCTCACCAGCTCTTCGCCCTTCGGTGCCAGACCCTAAACCCTAAACCCCTCAACCCGGACCCCTAAACCCCTAAACCCCGAAACACCTTAAACCCTATATCAGTCTTAGTGTCTTAGTCTTGGGATTCGGGAAAAGTCTCCGCTGTCAGGAGAGGGGGGCTTCCCTATGCAACTCGCCCTGCTTGCGGCTGACGTGGGCTGAAGCACCGTAGCCCGAAGCTTTCCGCTCAGGAACCCAAGAAGGACATAAGCATAGTATGGGGACCTCAATAATTTGAAACGCTGCGCGTCGTCCGCCTCGGCCCGGCTGTACGGGCATGCGGCGAGTGGCTACTATCTGCAGCAAGCTCTTGTAGGAAAAAAGTAACAGTTGGAATCGCACTTATAGTAAAAGTAATGTTCATAGCAACACGAAGCAGGATGATTGGTACGAATTTTGGTGTCGTCACTCCGAAACACTGGATACCAAGACTCTCGCAAGCGGCGGGATGCCTTAAGTATGGGCCGTTGAGGCTGTGGATTTCGTGGGCGTCTTGGACTAGGGAAGTATCACAGCCTTTTCAACCACGTTACTCCGCCTATCCCAACGAAAGGGCGTCTAAAACAAGCCTGAGACGCACATAAACACATTGCAGTCCCGTGTCGTCGAAAACTACAGAAGCTCGCACCTGGGGGGGGAGGGGGGGGGGACGGGAGGAAAACTGGGTGGGACTGCCTACAGACTGCCAGAATCCGTTGGAGGGGGCGAGAATTCACCACCGGACCTTGGGGCTAGTCGACACGTTTCCATTGGGATTAAGAGGTGGGGAATAGGAGAATCCGAATAGGAACCTCTGACCGCTTCGGCCGGGGCCGAGGCGAATTGCCTATACTAGTCTGGGGGTTCCTTATTACAGGTCTTATAGGTATAGTATAGTGGGGCTCCGAACCCTGTTCTAATTATTAAGGGTATAGTATAATGGGCCTCCAAACCCTGTTTTAATTATTAAGGGTATAGTATAGTGGGCCTCCATCCCCTGTTCTAATTATTAAGGCCCCTGTCAACTTCGACCTTCAGACCCATCGGTCCTCCTGCAAGTCAGGGTGTTCTTCGTCGTCTAGGATGGAGTCTCGAGACGGCGCCAAACTCCACCTCAGGGCCTGCCAGGCAAAGTTCCGGCTACGCCGAACCAAGGAGCACTGGTAATGCCAGTGCACTATCGGACCCTTATAGATCTATTACAGTATCCCTTATTGTCCTTTTGAAGGAGCCTTGCTTTATTCGAACACTTATTGACATCGGCATCACCAGATGAAACAGAACGATGCCAAGAAGGAGACTAGTAGCCACAGCAGCAACAACAACAGCAGCAAATCAACATCGGCACCAGCAGCATCTGCAGCTGCTGCCAGCAGTAGGAGGTTCCGGAGCCAGAGAGGCATCCCTAAACCCTAAACCCCAAACCCTAACCCATAGATGTTCTGTAGCAGTAGAAAGTAGCCTGAAGAAAGCATGGTATGCCCCAAAACCTTCATTGCGACTCTTAGAGCCTCTTGATAACTTAGTAGGCTTTTTTAGACAGTATGCTATACTACAAAAGTGTAGTCTAAAGTCTTAGAGCCTCTATGGTCCCGAAACCCTAAACCCTACACCCTAAACCCAAACCCTAAACCCAAACCCTAAACCCTAAACCCAAACCATAAACCCTAAACCCTAAACCCTAAACCCAAAACCCAAACCCTAAATCCTAAATCCTAAACCCTAAGCCCTAGACCCTAAACCCTGAACCGCTTTTTGTATTGACTTGGCCCAGCCGCCTTGGCCAGCAGCCTTGGTGGAGTCTCCCGACACCTGGGAGTTTCCGAAACTTAGGGGTACCTTTAAAGGGATCCTTTAGGAGTTCCTTAAAAGGATCTATAAGGGTTCTATGAAGGGTTTAGGGTTTCGAAATTAGGGGTACCTTATTTTGGGGGTCCTTATAACAAGGATCCTACTATTTAGGGTACTATATTAGGGTCCCCTATTTTCGGAAACTGCCACCTGCTTTGGTGTTTAACGATCGCGCCGGAAGCTTCATCCCTTGAGCCCCCAGATTTTAGGGTTTAGGATTTTTTGGGGTCTAGGGCTTAGGGGTTTAGGGATTTAGGATTTTTGGGGGTCTAGGGTTTAGGGGTTTAGGGATTTTGGGGTTTAGAGTTGGGGTTTAGGGTTAGGGGTTTGGGGTGGACCTGTGGTTTTGGGGGCTTTGAGAGGCGCAGGATGTAGGGTTTTTTTGGGGTAGCCTGGGTCTTGCTGATGAAGTTTCCGGTGCTGTGGCGCGGGATGCCGCGGAATGCATCGATGCCCAAGGTACCGAAGCATTGGCTCACCAAAAAGGAATGTAAGGGTCTGCGTCCGTAATGGCTTAGGCGGAGCCCCAAATCTCTAAGCCCCTCCCTTCCCCCGTACCTAGTCTGA